GGTGTCAAATCAAAAGCAGTGCTATTAATAAAACTTAATCTAAGGAATATTAGCCAAATAGGCTTCTTTTTAAACACTGTTTATGCAGAAGAATTCTAACTCCTGTGAAGATTTTTAAAGCTGGGATTGAAATTTGCAAGAGAAGAAAAAAGGTGGAAGAAAATGGACACATTTCCTTCAAAACTAAGGAAAGCTGGTTTGAGCACTGGCTTGGACACTTCTGTTTTCCCCTCTCACATTTCTGCATACAGCTACTGTATTTTAAGTGTTGAGCATCTTTGCAACACAAGTCATTTATTCAAGAATTTAACTGTAGATAAAGAAGAGCCCCAAAAGCATTCAATGTAATTAATGCAGTAGTAATATAAACAGAGAAAATTAAAATTCCATAATATTCCCCAGGGACAAACTGACACGATTCATAAAGATCATGGTAATAATGCAGTAGCAGTAGATAATAATAGTGCAATAATAAACCTTAAATTCTCTTTCACCCAATTACTAAGCACCAGAATGTCAACTAAACCTTAAGCACAAGAATATCAACGCAACGTTTTGTGCTGACCTGGTAGTTAGTTCAGAGAAGACCAACAATTATCCAGTGCAACAAAGAATAAGCCCTCACCTCTTCCAGGTTGGCCATGCACATGACGTAGAGCTTGGACGGGAAGGGGAAGGGCAGTGGGAACCTGTTGCTCTCGCTGCGCTGGCTGTGAGTGGCCAGGGAGTGGCGCAGGGAGCCTCTGCCGATGCCCAGGCAGCCGTCGGTGACCAGGACAACCTGCAGGGACCGGGACAAGTGAGCCACTTCCCGCTGCACCGGGCACCTGAACACCCACACACTGCAGGAGCCTTCCTGCAGCACCACCGGGCTCCCACCGAAAATCCCTGCTCCCCCCGGATTCCCTCCACAGAACTGAGCAAAGAACTGCGAACAAAATTTCTACAAGGCACAGAAACCTCGAAAAAGGGTGGTAGTATTAATGATCTTAATTCTTTGCAAATGCAGCTGCAGTATGCTCACATTTTGCAGCAGAACTACTACAGCAAAAACACACACTTTTCCATTCAACTGCACATCCAGAGTCAACCCTTGTGGAAACCTGCACTAATTACACTGAATAATGGGATTATTTACACTCAGCTGTGACCCAATCACTTCCAGAGGAGTGAAAGAGCTGCTCCTTCAATGCTGCATGGCAACAGCAGGCATGATTTCTGGCTGGTAGGTAAGGGACATCAAATCCAATTGAAACTCCATGTGTAATTGCTACATCCAGACTTGTATTCTCCCTTCATCCTCAGTCTCTCTTGCAGTGTCCTCAGGACTGGTGCTCACCAGTGATGTTTTCCAATACTTCAAGGCTGCACAGTCCATTCCCCAGTGCCCTCCACCACCCCAGCAGCTGAAGTGCCAGTAAAATGAGCTATGACACAAGTGAGAGACAAAATAGTTGAGGTCTAATCTCTGCTTGGTTTTCACATCTTTCTTGTTCTTTGCTTTGAATGTTTTTTGCTGTCCCAAGGTGCCTTTTGTCTGTGTTGGATGATGAAGCACTGCCTAACCAATAAACCTCTATCCTTTTTCTCCTTAAGGAATATTGCTTCAGGCATCTTCCCAGCTCACTGATCTGCAAAATTACTGAACTTAAATGTCTCAGAAAACCGAGGGTTAAAAGCAAACTCTGCCATAAGAGGCAGCAGATTTGGAAGGCTGTGAAAGCATGGAGGGCTGAACGGGGTGTGTGAGCAGCTGCATGGCAAATGACTCATTTGGGAGAGAAGTCAGATCAAAACACACTCAGCAGCAGCCCCATGCTGTTGGATGAGAGCTGAAATTATTACAAGCCCTGGAAACCATCAGGGACTAGAGGGGAGAAGCTCCTGCATGTGTGAATTTACCCTTTCCAAATGGAGTGAGGCTCCTGGGGCAGCAGATTGCATCCAGACCAAACACCAGGCCTGCACAACAGTGCTCCTGAGCCACATTTTATAATCCACTGCACTACAATAACACATTGGGCAGGAAACAGTCTCAATTTTTTTTTTTTGCTGCTGAGTATTTTTAGAAAGATTACCTTCTGTTCATATTGCAGGTTTAGCCAAAATACTAATTCTTTGTGTTTTTGCAGCACCAACATGCCCGAGACTATTCAAATCTCTCAAATTACATTGACATTTCTATCTACAGTTTACAGGCATAGAATCAATCACAGAAGCATAGGATGGTTTGGGTTGGAAGGGGTCTTAAAGATCACCAAGTTCCAATCTCCCTGCTAGGGATAACTAAACGTGCAGTGAACTTAAACCAGTGAAATCAGCCATACCTGGCAAGGAATTGCTGCCCCCCATTCCTGCTGGACAATATTGCAAACCCCCAGCAGCGCCGACTCCAGACAGGTTTTGTCATAATCATCCATGTTACTCAGGGCTTCCTGCAAAGACAAACACCACAATCACTGCTGGGGGAATATCCCTGCCAGGAGACACCCAGCAGTTACTCATGGCTTTGAAGGAACTGTGATATTATCAACACAGCTCTTAAAGAGTGAAAAAACACCTCTGCATGTCTTAAAAAAGTGAAAATCTGAAGCAGCATCTAATGGGAAACATTTAGCTGAGAAAATCCTTGCAGGTGTCAGAGCAGCTCAAACTTCTCAGAGATTGACAGAGACCACAAGGAGTTTGTCTCACAAAAACTCTTTGCCAGAGAGAGAGAGTAACCAACCCAAAACTCGTACCTGCATCCATAAACCAGCTTTTCTCCTGGAAGTGCAAACCTCACACTTAACACAGCAGCAGCAGGATGCAGCTGTGAGGTGAACTTGCTAAAGGAGCCTGGTTGGGATTCTGGCTTGCAAAATTCCTCAAATGAACTCTTAGGGAAGTGAAAATAAATCAGAGAGGATGCACTGGCACTCACCTGCTAAACTGCAAACATGAGAGAGAACAGCTTTTAAAATCTCTTTGCCCAATGGGCAAACCTAAACCATGGTGCCCTGTGACAGCAATGTGTCATTTCCTCCTGCATGTGAGGCTCAGAACAATTTTTACTGGATTCAGTAGATAATTTAAGTTTAAGGCTCCAGTGCCTTACTGCATTCATGTTGAATTTCCCTCTTGAATTTTCTCCTTTCCATTTCTTCCTCCCAACTTCCTACCACATCTGTAGCCTAAAATCACTTAATCTCACTCTTGCACTGTTTTGACACACTCTCAAGAGCAGCTTCTCTCTACTAAATCATTCGACTCAAAGCCTTTCTAAATGGTCTTGTTGGCTGCATTGTTTATCAAAACCAGCAGCTACACAAGAACAGGGACATCACAGAACCACTTGTAGGGCTTCATCAGGCAGCCCTTCCCTCCATCCCATTTTAGTCAATCAGACACACCCCAGTGCTCACCTGCAAAGGTACAACTGGCAAAGTTCAATGTTTCAAACACACTGATTTCACCTGCCCTTAAATTAAGGACAAACCCACTCAATTCAAGACGTTGTGCACAGGATGATGCCAAATCACAGTTTCACCATACTTGGGTGGTGCAATTGGCTGATTTTTAAAAAATGTCTACGGTTTATTGCTTTAGTGTTCACACCCCCTACCTGGAGCGTGTTGTAGTCTCTCGTGAAAGGCACCATCAGCTCCCAGAGGGATGAAAACACCACCAAGGCCGTGAACTCCAGCTTGTAGTTGGTGGCCATGTGCTCGAAGAGCATGGTGAGCCCGTGGGCAGCCAGGTGCTTGCGCTGGTACTCCTCGGAGCCCTCCACCGACACCGGCCGCGTCATGGACAGCGACACGTCCATCACCACCACGGTGGGCATGCTGAGCTGCTCCTCCGCCGCCCTCACGGGGGGCTCAGCCGGGATCACCTGCCTGCAGCGGGACGGAAATTCACATTAAATCATTATCAAAGCTGCGCTCCTGGAGCCACGCGTCTCGCCCCCTCACGCTGACCCCAAAGAGAAGAGACAATTAATTACCCTCTTCCCCCTCAAAACGTGGGACTGAGCACAGATTAAGTGAATGTACGCTGAACCCCACACAGCATTTCCAGCCGGGTGCAGCGTAAGGCCTGCAGACAGTAGGAGCTGAGGCTCGCTGGGGAAAAGGCGCAGCCCTGCCGCTCGGAGGGCGGTCGGGCAGGGATCCAGCCCTCCCTACAAGCCTTTGCCCTCAGCGGGGCTGTTCCCGGAGC